CTTATGGCTTCCTTTGCTTATAAGTTTAATTAGGTCCCACTTGTTTATTTTTGCTTTTATATCTATTGACACGGTGCTATTCTGCACATACAGAAAGCTCCACAATATCTGAGTTCAGCTGGCACTGATCATGCACAAATTTTTTTTACGTATTTACATATTATCAAAATCATCCTCTTTGAAGAGCTTTAGAATGCCAACTTAAGTTATTATCAACTTAAGATAGACTGGTGTCAACAGAAGTTTTATTTTTATGTCAACCTCATAGTAACTGCAAGCAAAAACCTAGAGTAGGCACACAAGGCAAAGAGAAAGAACCTACGCCTGCCACTACAGAAAGTGGTCACCGAAGAAGAGTAAGAGAAGAAGAAAGGAACAAATGAAGGACAAAGCAGCCAGGAAAGAATGAACAAAATGGCAGCAAGTATATACCTGCCAACAACTACTTTAAACTCTCCAATCAAAAGACTAAATAGACTAAACTCTCCAATCAAAAGAAACAAAGGGGCTGAATGGATAAAACAGCAAGGCCATTTATATGCTGCCTACAAGAGACTCATTTCAATGCAGGGACGCACACAGACTAAAAGTGGGGGATAGGAAAAGATGCTCCATGGAAATGGAAACAAAAAGAAGTCTGGGAGAGCTATACCTATGTCAGACAAAATAGACTTCAAGACAAAACTGTAATAAGAGACAAAAAGTCATTACATTTTGATGAAGGGTCACTCTAGCATGAGGCTATAACATTTGTAAATATTTTTTCACTCAACACAGAGGCACCTGAATATATAAAATAAATAGTAACAGACCTACAGGGAGAAACAGACAGCAATACCACAGCAGCAGGCACTTTATACCCCACTTTCACCAATGAAAAGATCACCCAGATAGAAAATCAATAAGGAACCACTGCTCTTGAATAAAATGTTAGACCACATGGACTTAAAGAGAGCTATACAGAGTATTTCATCCAAAAGCAACAAAATACAATTTTTTTCCTCAAGTGAACATCACTCTCCAGGGCAGATCATATGTTAGGGTACCAAACAAGTTTGAACAAATTTAAGACTGAAATTATATAAAGCCTCTTTTCCAACCACAATGGTATGAGACTAGAAATCAATTTTAAAAAAATTGGGAAGTTAACAAATATATGGAGATTAAACAACATGTTATGGAACAACCAATGGCTCAAAGAAAAAAAATCAAAAGAAGAATCAAAAAGTACATCGAGACAAATGAAAATGGAAATACAACATAGCAAAATTTGCAAGATGCAGCAAAAGCAGTTATAAGAGGGAAATTCATACATGTAATGTCTACAGCAAGAAACAAGAAAAATCTCAACCTAACTTTACAACACAAGGAACTAAAAAAAGAACAAATAAAGCCCCAAGTTATTAGAAGGAAAGAAATAACAAAGAATGGAAATAAATAAAACAAACTAGGAAGATAATAAAAAGATCAATAAAATTAAGAGCTGTTGTTTTTGAAAAGATAAACAAAATTGGAACACCTTTAGCTAGACTCACAAATTAAAAAAAAATAGAAGACTAAAAGTCAGAAACTAAAGAGGAGACATTTTAACTGATTCCACATAAATATAAAGGATCATAAGAGACTATTATGAACAATTAGATGCTGACAAATTGGACAACCTAGAAATGGATAAACTTCTAGAAACATACCACATATTGAGACTGAATCATTAAGAAAAAGAAAATCTGAACAGATTGATTACTAGCAGGGAGATGGAATCAGTAATCAAACACCTCCCAACAAACAAAAGTCCAGGATCAGATGGCTTTACTGGTGAATTCTACCAAACATTTAAAGAATAATTAATTCCAATTCGTCTGAAACTCTTACAAAAACAGAAGAGGAGGGAATACTTCCAATCTCATTTCATGAGGCCAGCATTACTCTGATACCAAGACCAGACAAAGATGCCACAAGAAGAGAAAATTAGAGGCCAACAAAGATGCAAAATTCCTCAACCAAATATTAACAAAATAAATTCAATAATACATTAAAAGGATAATATACCATGATGAAGTGGGATTTATTCC